AGCCTGTAGAGCTGCTGGGGGTTGTTGTGAGCCAAGTGCAGGACCCCGCACTTGGCCTCATTGAAACTCATGGAATTGGCCTTGGCCCAGTGATCCAGCCTATCTAGATCCCTCTGTAGAGCTTCCCTACCCTCAAGCAGATCAACACTTCCACCCAGCTCAGTGTCATCTGCAAACTTACTAAGGATGCACTCCATCCCCTCATCCAAATCATTGATAAAGGCGTTAAACAGGAGTGGCCCCAGTACTGAGCCCTGGGGGACACCACTCATGACTGGTCACCAGATGGATTTAACTCCATTGACCACAACTCTCTGGACTCGGCCATCCAACCAGTTTTTCACCCAGCAAAGCATATGCCCATCCAAGCCAAGAGCAGTCAGTTTCTCTAGGAGAAAGCTGTGGGAAACAGTGTCAAATGCCTTGCTAAAGTCGAGGTAGATGACATCCACAGCCTTTCCTTCATCCAACAAGCAGGTCACCCTGTCATAGAAGGAGATGAGATTTGTTAAACAGGACCTGCCCTTCATAAACCCGTGCTGACTGGGCCTGATCACCTGGTTGTCCTGCATGTGCTGCATGATGGAACTCAGGATGATCTACTCCGTCAGCTTCGCTAGTATTGTCAGTATATTTGCTACATACATTTTTCCTGAGATAAAGTTTTCTCTGGACTATTTTGGATGCTAGTAACATTAACAGAAGTAACTTTTTCACAGGAGAGTTGCTTACATAAGTGCTTCGCTGCTTTCTGTTGCCCATCCAGGAAGTGAGGCCTTGCACACTTCTCTAAATATCATCAGCTTTCACAAACAAATGCTGTTACTTCCCTGACAGATGAAGGACCCTGGTTCGTATTTGGCAGTGCCCACTGTAGAGGAACCATTCATCTGAGTACAGAGACAAAGCAGACTTCTAAAGCCTATTTTTAGTATAAATTTTTAATAACCTAAAGTTAGGTCATTAAATCCCTGTTTGGGTGCAAAAAGGAGGCAGCCTGTTTTTGAAAGAGAAACAGAACATATTTTCAATGAGGCTGGGATGTTACCTGAAAAGTAAGACATGTACCAAGTAATATAGGTTCAGTATCAAAACTAAAGCCTCGTAAGTGAAGGGATATCATTGTGCTTAGACAGAAGGCTGGAAACCTGTTTGTGAGGTTTTTTTACTGATGGGTGCAAGAGTTAATTTAACTTACTCAGCCTTTCTAGGCTTGTATCTATCTGTAAAGCAGCAACTAGATTTTTCTTAATAAATCTGAGTCTCGGGTGTGTTGAGTATTAGTAAGGGACAGTAATGGCAGTAGTATTACTGCTAGGACAGTGATTGTCAGGCTGTGATCTAGGCCAGATTTCCTGCAGTGGAAGCTGCTGTTTAAGGGTTGTACATGCCAAATGCCTTTGGCATTTATGCCTTGACCAATTTTCCTTTTTTATTTTAGGGGAAAAGATTCTGTGAAACACTTCCACATTGAACACACAGGAACTTCATTCAAATTCGGATTTAATGAATTTTCTAGCTTGAAAGAATTAGTCATGCATTTTGCAAATCAGCCTTTAATTGGAAGTGAAACAGGTAAGGAGAGCCACATGTTTGTATGAACACGTTTGTAGTCTTGCTTCACGCAGACCTAAGTAAAAGGTGCTTCTGATGTGTTATCAAATAGATCTACTGCTGAAGTGTTCCTCTTCAGGAATTCACATTTGTATTAACCTCAGGTATGTAAGATGTTCCTCTTCAAAAACTCTTTCAAGTACTCTGAAGACAAACTACATGTAAGCTTACTGGGTTTGCTAACCAGGTGTTTGCTAAACAGGGGCATGAGCTCCTTTTGATTGTCCAAGAGAGAAGGAAGCATTTCAAGATACGCACCTACTGGGAGGAACAGAACTTTCTCAAAAAGGGCAAAACCAAAGCAGGGTGTTGAATGTGGAAATCAATGTCCATCTGTGAAGTTGAAATCCCCCAATAAGAATAAATGGAAGAGGGACTTGAAATTGTCTAGCTCCACAATTTGCCATCCAAGGAATAAGTCTACAGTGATACATTCCTCTTTCCTGTAGGGAACGTGCCCTGCATTACCTCTCCCGTTCTGTCTACAGTGGATCAGCCTGCTAATGCCATCTGCCATGACAGTGATTTGTCTTGTTTTTAAGAAAGAGAAAAGCACAGGCTTCTTTAACAGCCAATATGCTACCTGAATTAAGAGGCAAAAGATTAAACTTGATTCCTACAAGCGAGTTGAACACCACCAGACCAGAATCCCTGGAGAAACAGATGCATATTGTCATGATAATGCCAGTTTTAGATTTAGCTTCAAATGTAAGAGTTGAAGATGCGTCAGTACAAGTTAGTGCCAAAAACTTCAGTGTCCTGTGTAGAAAGTGTGTGCAAATATCTCAGAGTAGTTCTAATTATATATGCAATTGACCAGTTAAATAATAGTTGGCACATGCAATAACTGTAATATGTCACACGCTGAGTACACACCAGTACTCTTGTAACACAAGCACTAAATTCAAGGGTTGCTTTGCAATTTTTTTTTCCCCAAGAAAATAGCAGTGCTGCACTCAGTATGGCACTTGTCTCTTTCAAAGCACTCTCTTCAAGTTGCTTTTAAGAGTGTTTCAGATGGAGTTCCTTCATGTATCTTTTGTGCCAGTAAGCTGTTTTTCCTCTGAAATCAGATATGCACCCACAGGCCTAATGCTGTAAAGATTTCAGTTGATAGATAAAACTTTTATTTCCCTGTTCCTTCATTGCATGTGTTACAGACATTGGTAATCAAGGCATTGGCGTTATGTGATCTCTGTGGACAGGATCAGCACTGCTGAATGATGGGCTCACTTGTCACCTTAAAGCTCCCTAATCAGATTCTGCTAGCTCTGTGAAACCTCTTTGAGTTGGATGTCCTACAGGATAAGAAAAGCCATTTGGCCATCACGTCAAAAAATCTTCCACCTTACCTTACCATGGATAGCAGTAGAGAGGAAGAAACAGCTTGCGCTCGGGCAGTGTTCCTTCAGATACAGGTGTCAAAGGTCTCCTGGGTGGCAACTGACTTGTACCAAGAAGGGGGTAGGGGCTCATCAGAGCCCACTGTAAGCCAAGTGTCAGCATGGCAGAATGACCAGCCCAACACAGGGTCACACAGCAGGTTGGGAGAAGGGCCAGCAACAGGGTCGGATTTCTTAGGCTACGCTTCTTTTCAGTGAAACGCAGCAAGTGACCTTTGGCTCAGGCATTAGTAGAAAGTAGTTGGACTGGCTTTTCTTATTCCTTGTTATGCTTACAAATAATTTTCTGTAGAAACTGTGAGATTAGGAATGAGAGAGTAAAGCAAGGTAGCATGATAGCATTTTCCATCTCCTCCTTGTTTATGGACAGGATTTTATAAGACAGAGACCCACATGATAGAATATGCAGTAGTTTCCACTAACTTCCATTTAAGTTTTGTCTCACTGGAGCTAGTTCCGTGTCTGAAGAGGCACACCAGACTCTCTGATCAGTACTTGAACACACAGGCCTGCACCCCTGCAAACTGGTCCATGGAGCACGGTGGTTCTTTCATACTGGGACAGCCGCAGGTTTGTGCTTGGAGCCTGACAAACCTTGTCTTACTGCAGCTTCATTTGCCATTCCTAATTGCTACACGGGCTCACATCTATTTTTATGCAGTGTAATGTGTACACTTCCTTCTGAACAACAACAGGTAATTCAAAGGAAATTTGGGCTACTGTGTTCCCTGAGATGGTTTATTGAACAGGCAAGATGAATCTATTCACTACCAAGGTTAAAGCAATATGCTATCGTATTTCTATATTTTGGTCTTTATTCAAAGCGACAAGGTCAAGATGTTATTCTTACCTGTTTGCTTTGTTTATCAGTTTTTACTGAAATTATTTTGAAAACATGTAAAAACTTAAGTCATTACCCAGACAAAAAGGCCAAAGTCCCTTGAAGCTAACATTTCCAATGAGACCAGTTTTCATTGTTCCTTAGAAATAGGTGTCATGCACAAAAATGCAGGAAGAATCTTGCTACAGTGCAGCTTTTACTAGTTCTTTTGTACAGTTACTAAATGGTTCTGTGCAAGTATCTTTTGTGGAGAAAAAAACATGGAGAACTTACTAGAAAACAAATATTGTATAAAATGTTAAACTAGTCCTCTCAGTTCTGCAACAGGGCATTTTATCCGTGATGTACAGATGGTGGTACTCTTGATTCTATGCCTCTAAGAGCAGTTTCTGTAGACTGGTGATGAGGATGTTCCCAGTTTCATTTTAATGTCATTTTAAATGACACAGCATTATTTTTCTGCAAGGCCAGAGAGCATTAAACTGATTCTGACTTTTCACCTACTGCAAGTGGAACGGATCACATTTGCATACACCCCCTGTGCCTGCAAACAGATTTCAGTTGGTTACTTCAAATATGATTTTTCCACTTCCCTTTGTAGCCCTTCCCATTACAAAATATACTTTAAACTTTATTTCACTTTTAAATGACTCAATCACCTGTAGGTTTTAAGTCTAAGTTCTTACTAATTCTGACATCCCTTTAAGAGCTGACAATATCAGCATAAAATGCAAACAGGGCAGCATTCGGTACGCTGTGACATTATTTTTAAAGAACGAGATGAGATGGTGTAGCAGTTACTATTTTAAGGAGGTGCTTCACTGTTGTGAATAGTGTAATAGATTCACTATTGAGAAGGCAGCTTTTTGCCGAGAACATGCAATAAAAATGACCTTATTTGGAGAACAGAGAATGGCTCTAATCAAAATGTTACTAACTGGAAAGAGCTATGGTGAAACAGTTAAAGGCAATCGTCATGTGGGCTTTCCGTTAGGAAGCCTGTATCCGAAGCTCTGACAGATTAGGTGTTTTATGCAGCAAGCAGTGGGTTGTTGGGAAAACCAGGATGACCATTACGGTCTCATGTCTAATCTAGCATCCTGCCTACCCACCCAGCCAGCCTCCTGTGCAGTAAGAGAATTTGACATGTCAAGTGATTCCCTGGAAGCACTAGTAAGTTTGAAGGTTTTTAAAAGGTACCATATATTTATAGTTTTCACAGTTGCATGTAAACAGGTGTGATGATGTCTGTAGTCACATCTTCATGAATGCAGTGAAAGCATAGGTCATGTGTAGGTCAGTGTTTCAGCTGTAACTACAAAATCTCTGTTACGATTTGTTTTGTATTACCTAGTTACTCCCTGACTGGGAAGAAGGTTCAGGCAGGATGGGAGACACCTGCCTTTGAGGGCTGTATAATGATCCTGTTCTGTTGTTGTCTTGATTTTTTGCCACTTACCATGCATTGCAGAAGGGATTTATTTACCTACTGCTTAGAAGCAAAGAGGGTTTTCACTTGTTTTCAGAGATGTAGGAACAAATTGACTCCCACTGTACAGAGATGAGGGAATGGATTTAGGCAAGGTCCAGGCGCTCCAGGTATTGAGGATTCTGAGCAACACAACAGAGCCAAGGAAGTGACACTGGGCAAGCACTCCTGTAGTTTGCATGGGATGATTTTTGTAGAAAACACCCTTCACAAAGACTCAGCTATTCAGATGATACATGTTTGAAATACTTGTCTAGTTTCATCGGTATGGGAGAGTCATTTATAGCATCTGATTGTTTTCTCACAAGGGTGTGGCCCGAGTCCTACCCCCTTCCAAGGAAAACACCTTACAGGGAGTGTTGCAGAGATCTTGGGGAGGTTATTAGCTCTTAGGCCTTTTTAATTTTAGGACAAGGTAAAGTTAATCATTCCACAAACAGGCAGCTACTGCCAGTTATTTTACAAGACTGTCTTGCCAGATGACTTACTCCTCTTTTTCTCCCCAGGAACCTTAATTGTACTGAAGCACCCCTACCCACGGGAAGTGGAAGAACCTTCCATTTATGAGTCTGTCCGAGTTCACACGGCAATGCAGACGGGAAGGACAGAAAGCGATCTTGTTCCAAATGCTCCCTCAGTAAGTTGTGTTCTGGTGGGAGGGGTGCTTCTCCTGGCCTGAGCTTAGTATGATTGCTGGAGTGAGCTGTGGAATAACACCAGTAATTCGTCCCTTTATGGGTTCATAAACACAGGAAGTCTTTACCACACAAGGCAAAACAAACATAGACTTGCCAAGTACAGTCCCATTACAAATAAAGCCTTTTACAATTGTTCACACCGAGACCTTCAGTGCTGTCACTGGGAAAACATTGTCTGCAGCTGACCTAGGTGAGTCTGACCGTCCAAACAAAGAACATATGAAAGGTTCTCATTCTCATGTTATCTTCCTTTTAGAATGCCATATTAGCAGTAACATTGTCAGGAATTAAAAAAAAAAACAACCAAAAAACCACACCACACGAAACAAACACAACATTTCTCACATCTGTCTGACAACCCTCATCAGGCTGCGTGCAACAATACGTACATCAGGTTGCACAGCAAGCCCTTGTTTTGCCAAACATCCTTTACAGCCAGCAGGAAGCGTCTCTTTTTCTCTCTAACCCCCCTCCCGCCCCAGTGAGGGAAGAGATACACTAAATAGCAAAACCAAGTAACAGCTACAGGATTTACCACATTTTGTCACACGTAGTGAATATAAGAATTAGGTGACAGGAAATAGATAATCATCCTGACACACAAACTCATTACTACTTAATTATTTTTGCAGTATTCTCCTTTTTTGTATGACTGCTGGAGCAAGCTGGTTAAGCTCTGCTGGAGTCAGTTAAAAAGTGACCTTTTGAATAAAATACTCAAAGATGCACAAAACAGGCAGGGACACATTTGGAAAAGGAAACCCTGAACTGAAGCGCAATACAACCAAGTTAATAAGAGTATCTGTACACTGATAGATACATTACTCAAAAGGTTGTTGTTTTTTTTTCCATTGTCACACTTGGATTTTGTTATTTTAAAATCACCTTGTCTTAAAGCAGGAAGACAGTTTGCTGTATTCCAACACAGACCCAAAATAGAGCAATATGGGAGAAGAGCCTCCACCCTTTCAGTCCTAGTAATTCTGAGCACAGTAAAAAGCTGTGTCATGTTAAAAGCTATGCCTTACTGGTGTGAGAAACAAGAGAACATCTTCATAACCATTTGGGCCACCTGCTCTGACATCTGTGGCTCACTTGGACAGTAATTAGAGACTTTAAATCCCTAGTAACTCATATCTATGCAAGACAGGTGGTTTCTCCAGAACAGTATTGCTCAGAACAGAAAGTATTTTAATTACATACTATATCTTTTGAGAAAAATAGGAAGAGTTACATTAATATGCAGTAATGAAGCTGATAAAAGAACCACTTCTGATGTGTCTCACAACCAACCCTTCATGGCTGAGTTTCACTTTAACCTCCAAAGAAACTTTGCTTCCACATACAACCAATAAAAAGGCAGGATTTTTTCAAGAGCAAGGAATAATTAACATGGCATGAATTTGGTTTTCGGAGGACTACAGTCTCACAACTAGGTCCCTACACAGAGTTTCAGTATCTGAGAAGGCGTAAGGTCCTAGCATGACTCGTGGTGGCAGAGAAACAGGTTGGAAAACAATTTTTCAATAAGCACATTACATGTAAGAGGTTTTTCCTCTCAAGCATGTGGCCGTTTAAGAGAAAAGAATGCCCAGTACAACGGCACTTTCCCCTCTGCTTGCATTTCAGGAGTGATTTCTGTGGGTAATTCCACTGTCAGCTACACCCCAAGTGCTTCTGGTTACAACATGTACTGAGGCAACAATCTAATGTTACTAAATAAACTGTAACTGTGACTATTTCGCTGTGTTTGGTTGAGAAGATGCAGGCCAGAAGCTTGCTGAGGGAGGCATGGTCTAAGATTGTCTTTAGAGCCAGCACAGGTCCGTGTCTACCCTAGTAGCAGATCCAGCTGCGTGAGGAGAGCGTGGGAGTGAGGGCAGGGCAAGTGGCCATGGAAAGTTCCCCCAAGAACAGGCTGCTCTTCCAGATGTAGGCAAAGACGGGGAGGCGGGAAATTGAAGCAGAGCTCAGTCTCTAACCCTGTTCCCTCTCCTTGTTACTTCACAGCTTGGCACAAAAGAAGGGTATTTGATAAAACAAGGCAAAATAGTCAAGGTAAGGAAAACTCTTATTCCTTGCTTTTACTCTACAGTCACCCACAGAAGCTAGAGACAATGCAGAGCCTAAATAGTTCCACCTGCATTCCTCTGCAGAGAGGAACAATTTGTGTTTTGAGCAACAGCAAAGCACAACTGTTAACCAGAGCAAGTCAACAGCTTTAAAGGCTTTTCTTTCCTAAGAAGCATACACTAAAATCTCACAAGACAATTGCTGTCAATTCTTAATCTTTCAGAATTGGAAGACAAGGTGGTTTACACTGCATAGGAATGAACTTAAGTATTTCAAAGACCAGACAGTAAGTAGCAAACGCCATGTCTACTCTTCAAACCTCTACAGAGGCAGCTGCAGCCTCCTTGTATCTCTGTCTTCTCACACCTGTATCACAGCTTCCCAAACTGAAGGTTCCCATACTGTCAGAGGGGTCAGATCTCTCAGAGTCAGAGTTTTGCTGATGGCTTCAATAAGAGAAAGTGAGTTTTACAGATGGAAAACATTTACTGTGCTCTGTCAGTCTTACCCACTAGACAGAGTTGTTGTTTACAGTGCATTTTTTGGTTGCTTCATTCAATGGGTTTTAAGCTACCAGCACAACACAGCTTTTATTGGCACCTTTGACACACAACCTTGCAGTCAGTGGTACTGTTAAAATATTTCTGCAAATACTATCAGTATATTTCACATCCTTGATTTCATCCTTTTATTTCAAGTGATTGCACAGTACACATAGAAAACCATCCATTTAAAAATGCCTTACTTCCTAGCACTCTGATGGAGATTAACCTCCCGCGTCTGGGAAAAACAGGGTGTCATCACAGTTGCTGTTCCATTTCTATCTTACATTGAGTAAAAGTAAAAAATACCTGTAGAGTTTCTCCACCCTTACAATGCCTCCACTTCAGGTTCCTTCATAAACATAGCCAAACTGTTTACCTCTGCCAAGTCCTGTTCCAAGCATCTAACAGATTTTAACAAAACAGCAGACACAATTGCCCTCTCTCACCAAGCATTACCATTTAGGAACAGTTATGTATTTACGGGGCCTTCCATCAGTTTTCATTTCAGTTTAAGCCAGCTTGCATTAAGGATTCAATTATTCCAGGATCACATTTCAAAGGGCAGCACTCCAAACGTTCAAGTAGCATTTGTGACTTACCAGGAGAGATGGTGTTTTTGTCAGGAATATGGCTTCCTCCGGTGTCTCCTGGCACTGCTATTGTTGCTATGGGGCTGCAGTTACCTACAGATGAGCAACTTGCTGCTGGCCCTGGGCTAGCACTTGCTAGTCTGCCTCAGCACAAGTGGCTTTCTTCTAGTGCGCGGTGTGACTAGTTGCCACTGAGCCAGAGGAACATGTAAGGAAAAGGTGAGAAAGCAACAGACACCTCCATATACCTGGTGAGAGGACCACAGGAACAGCTAAGGATGTTTGGGTAGAGGGCAAGCTGCTCTTCTACTTCAGCTGCCTCTTCTGAAGTGCTCACAGTATGAGGCTGAAACAAATCAAAGAGCTCTCACACCTAGGGAGGATGAAACTCTTTAAGGGAGATGGGTCACAGTTACACAGTCTACACCTGAGCACTCGTGGGCCTGTCCCAAGAAACTCAGGTGTACACACACTGCCCACACAGCCAGACCCATCCCTTCTGTGCA